AGCCGCGGGGCGGAGCGGGGCAGCGTGCCAGCTTCTGCGCCCCCGCAGCCCCGAGCGCCGCCTGTCTCCCCGCTGTGAGTGGCTGTGAGGGGGTCGGTTTCCCGCGAGCTGTAAATGCCGACATCGAAGACGGGCGGAGCTCGGGGGCACGTCCGCGCCCGTGCCGAGGGCCGCTGCTCTGAGAGGAGAGGCCTGTTGTGGAGCGGCCGCCGGGGCTCCCGCCCACTTCCCGCGCCTGGCAGCGATTCCCGGCGCCTCCCGCCGGTCGGTCTCTTGGTGCCGCCCACTACGAGCCCCTGAGGAGGGCCCTTTAACATCTTCCTGTTACAGACCAGGCTGAAGCTGGAAGTCAGGTCGCTTACTCGAGGACACACAGCTAGTGAGTGACCGGGTCGACTGCCTTGGCGGCTTCGCCATTGCCCTGGCTGTGCGGTTGATCGCAGGGGTGCCCCGTGGCCTCTGGGGGGTCGCGGAAAATCCCGCCATTCCCTCCCCCTCCCGGTGGAAGAGCAGGCTTCCAGTTCCCAAACCCAAACCCAGGGGTGATTGCGCTCTGGGAGAATCGGAGAGCCCTCTGTGTCCATGGGCGGTGTTCCCCGTGGGCGAGGGCGCTTTAGTGCGGAAATACTAGGAACCTGGGCTGAAGGCGTGGGCAGCATGCGTGACCTGAGTCTGGCCAGCATTCCTGGTCCCAACCTGATGCAGGAAAAACGGATGAGGGGCGAGAGGAGGGCCGTGTCGCAGGTTCCAGTTGAGTCCCTGGGACGTGCCCCACCAAGTGTGGGTCCCTGGCTTTGCGCAGGAAAGAATTCAAGTGCGAGCTACAGTTGCATAAAGGTAGATTTATTCAGAGAGATACATGGAAAGGCAAGAAAGGCCATGAGGTGTGGGGGTTGGGTGCTCAGATTAGAGTAAAAGTAGGTACACACCCTGTAGACAGAGTACTGCCTGTCTGCGTCTCCTAAGGGGGAGAGAGGGCGGCCACCAGGCGCCTCTGTGTTGCCAGTCTTTATGGGCTCAGTGGCTTCATATGCTAATAAGTGTAAGGACCAGTCTGAGTAGCCTGGGGAAAGGACTGGGATTCCCAGGAAGTTGGCCATTTCCCACTGGACTTTTTGGCCAGCCTTGGGACTGTCATGGGCATGTTATTTACCATGTTAATGTATTACAATGAGCATATAGTGAAGCTCAAGAAGTCAAATCTCCCATCATCTTGAGCCTCAAGGCTTACTGGGGGTTGAATCTTTTGCCATTCTGGTATCATTTGCTGTGGTATTCCTTGAATGACTGTACCTTGCCCCCTTCCTGTCTCACACCTACTGTGGGTACAGAGGACCCTCTGAAGGACTCCAAAAGAGAGAGTAGCAGAAAGGAGCACGACGGAAGGAGCTGGAAGCCCGCTTGAGCACAGAGTAAAGCCCCTATGAGACACACAGGAGTGGCAGACAACGTGGGCTGGCATGTTTAATACGTGATCTCATTCTGTACGTTCATTTTAAGCATTTACAGCAAAAGTGCCCATCGTCTCATTGTTCTGTCAGCTATTTTCACTCAGCATTGTTTTTAAATCGTCCCATAATACAGATATCTGGTCTGGACCACCCACTCAAACTGCAGAGTCCTACTGTATGTCTACACTGCTCTGCATTTACCCTGCCTTATTAACGAGCGCTTCGGTTTTCCTCTGCTTTCCTCTACTGCACATACTGCAGGGAAGTAGGTCCTTGTACAGTATCCCCAAGTCCTGTGAGCAAGGGTATCTCTAGGAGTTATGCCTAGAGATGGGATTGAATGTGCAGATTTTAATTTTAGGTACTACCATACTGCTTTTCAGAGTGGCTGTGTACTTTATACTCCCTTTGGTGGTGTGACGGAATTCCTGTTCCCCTACACCTTCACCAATGCTCAGTACTACACGACTTTCTGAAATTTACTAATCTAAGGGGTGAAGAGTGGTGTCTTGGTTTATCAACTTCACTGAGATGTACTTAAAATTAAATGTGGTTATTTTTAGTAAATGAATATATTTGATAAATAAAAATCCTCCTGTGTGACTTCCACAATCCAGGCCTAGAACATCTCCATCCCCCCAAAGTGCTTCCCTGGGGCCCTTCTCCATCAGTCCCCACTCCTGCCAGGTGTTTCAGTGAGCAAACCTGATGGCCAGGTTTCTATCAACCAATGGAATGTCAGTAACTCCAGTTGTCTGAAATTACCTCACCCATTTTCCCACTGGGCTGATTGTCTTTTTCCTTATGATGTGACAGAGTTTGTTTTCTATTTGGGATACTGAGTGATTTGCCTATTATATATGTTACAACAGGAGAACTTACAAACACCACCCAGGGGGACCTGCCATCCCACCTCAGAGAACCACCCTCTGCCTTGCAGCCAGTTCTCTGCCCCCTCTTCACATTGCACAGCGGATCCCAAGTCCTTATCTGGGTTGTGAAGGCTATAACAGCCTGGCCAGCAAGGTTTCTGAAGCAAAACACAATCTAACTGGAATTGGGGCGGGACGGCGTTCACAAGCGGTGAGAGGTGAGGAGCAAGCAAGGGGATCCTTAAAATAAGTACCAGAGAGCGGTGCTGGGCCCTGAGGAAGTGCTCCTACACCCCTGCACAGCAGGGAAAGCTTCCTGGAGGAGAAGGCCTGAGGGCAGAGTGCTGTCTGTCTTAAAACATGGACAAGATCTGTACGCTTCAAATTACAAGATGCTGAAGAAAGAGACTGTGAGCTGGCCTTGAGATGAGTTAAGGCCGTGGGACCCAAGGCCACGATCAGAGCATGTTTGCAGATGCAGTAAGCAATTGCTATACGCGTGCGTCAATTATATAAGATTCAGAACAAAGAAAATAGAAGTACGCATGTGCTAGAGATATTCTGTAAGCCTAGTGAACAAAGAAACTCAGATTGTGCATGTGCTGGCAGAGAACAGATAAAAAGCAGGACAGGTGCATCATAGGCGTGCACCTTCCTGTGGCAATAATGTTGTTAACCCCATGGTGTCTCTGGCTAAAGTCTGTCTGGCGGTACAGCAACTCCTCATGCATTTTTTTGTTTGGGCCGCTCACCTCCTAGAACCCTACGTCAGCCTCCCTCGGCTGACACTTGGTGCTGTGAGCGGGATGAGGTGAGTGCCCCCTCTGAACCCCCTGCCCCTGACGGGGATGCTCTGATGGAAGCAAAGTGGCCCCCTAACTCTGTATGGTACTCGGTGGCAGCCTATTGGCTGACGTGGGCTCAGCCTGAAGATTGGGACACAGTGGCACCCTGGCCAGATGACATCCGGAGGGCGTTGGAACTGTTAGAAAATTATGTCTCATTAGCCCACCGAGAGGCAGCCAGGAGGGCAGCCTGGGTGTTCTTACCTGTTTTACGTCACGCTAGCCAAGACATGAGAGATTTACAGATGCAAGTGGAGGCGTTGCAGTGAAGAGAAGAGGAGCTTAAGCGGAGACCCAGCACAGCAGAAAGGTGTCTGCGTGGTCCTAGCTTGCCACCTCTGAAAGCAGCTATGCCTGTGTAGCTCCGGTCCTACCGTCTCTGAGAACAGTAAGCCTGGCCCCTAGCCCTGTTCCGCTGCGTCTGTGGCCCATGGTGAGGCAACAGGTGGAACTGGAGGAGCCCATGGCTCGGGGGGAACTCCTGCGGGACCACAGTGAGTGACACGTGAGTAAATGGACCACGTATTTGAACTTAGTACAAGTTGTCTGAGAAATGGATGCACCGGATGATGTTTGCTTTGCATTTCCATAGTCTGAATGATGAACTCCTTATAGCTTGAATGAAAGATTTGATTTTGGCTAATGGCCCAACGGGAACGTTTGGGACTATGGCAGTGCTACTAGCACTGTATGTAGACCGCCCCATATATGAAGTAACTGAGGCTCTGGCTCATCTGGGAGACACAGAGATGCGCCGAAAGGGGGTGCATACTGCCAAGACTCAAGGTGAGTCCAAGATCCCCTCCCATGCAGTGACAGAAAGGGAAGTCCACACAGAGGACGAAAAAGGGGAATGCTCCGATTTTAGGAGGGCCCCAAAAACTAGATCGCCAGCAGATATGGTGTGATTTACTGGCAGCTGGCTTGGACTGTGTAAAATTAGATGGCCAGCCATTGGAGATGCTGATGGCCTTAGGGAAGAAATTATGGCTTGAGCAACAACCTCCCATCAGGCCTGAAAGGTGGCCTTGCTGATTTCCTCCCAGAGTAGGATGAAGGCCAAGGTGTTTGGGACGTGGGGCACCCCGATGACCGGAAGCCACATGTTGAACTGACTATCCACTGGTCCCCTATGTATAAAAAGCAAGTACTGGCACTAGTAGACACAGGAACTGAAATTACATGGGTGCATGGAAAACTGGAGTGTTTTGGGGGACCATGGGTTGATATAGAAGGATATGGAAACAAGCAAATGTGTGTGTTAACTGAGTGACTCTGATTTTGGGCATTGGCTGTCTGTCTCCTGCTGCATATGAAAAGCGTATCTCCCCAGTAGCTGAATATATTCTGGGGATAGGCATTTTGCAAGGATTGCAAATACAGATGAGTCAAGGGGAATTTCACCTGAGAGTCCGCGTGGTGAAAACAGTTACACGGGGGCATCCTCATCATGCATCTTTGATTTTGCCACAGGCCACGCAAGTGGTGAATGTCCGGCAATATCGATTGCCCAGAGGCCGTGAGGAAATAGGACAGACTATTCTGAAGCCTGAGGAAGCTGGTATAATTCGGGCTACGCATAGCCCATATAACTCTCCAGTGTGGCCAGTGTGGAAGCCAGATGTCTCCTGGAGGATGACAATGGACATTTGTTGTGTTGCCGCAGGGATGTCTGCACAGCCCCACACTGTGCCATGGCCTGGTAGCCCAGGACCTGGCTACATGGAGCAAGCCGGATACTGTTCGTTTGTTCCATTATATAGATGACATAATGCTAACGTCTGATTCTCTTTCAGATTTGGAAACCAGTGCCACAGCGCTGCAAGAAGCCCTGGCGGGCTGGGGGTGGGCCACGAACAAGGACAAAATGCGAGGACCTGGATATTCTGTCAAATTCTTGGGTGTTGTCTGGTCGGGTAAGACAGAAGTGCTGCCTGAAGCAGTAATAGACAAAATCCAGGCATATTCCCGCTCTGAAACAGTTAAACAGTTACAGACTTATTTAGGTCTTCTGGGATACTGGTGGGTGTTTATTCCTCATTTGGCCCAAATAGCCAAACCCCTGTATAAACTGATTAAAAAGGGAGAAATCTGAAACTGGCCTGATGAGACCGAATATGCATTTGTTGGAAGTAAGAGGAAGGTGACCCAAGCGTAAGCGCTGTGCACTGCAGACCCAGACCTCCTTTCTGGTTGGCAGTCCATGTGGACGATGATGGATATGGCTGGGGCTTATGGCAGAAACATGGGCAGCGGAAAGTGCCCATAGGATTCTGGTCTCAGTTATGGAAAGGGGCTGAATGTTGTTATTCTTTGATAGAGAAACAATTGCTAGCAACATATGCATCCTTGATTGCCACTGAACCCCTGACGGGGAGGCAGGAGGTCCAAGTGCAGACCACATACCCTGTTGCAGGATGGGTACAGACATGGGCAAAGCAACCCCGATTGGGAACTGCCCAAACCCCAACTCTGACGAAGTGGGGTGCTTATTTGGAACAGAGAGCCCAGTACACCGCTAGCACCTTGGCTGCAGAGTTGCAGCAGGTGTTAGGGCCTGTGAAATTTGTTGCGCCTGATGTACAGACGCTCCCACAACAAGGGGTGGGCCCTGTGCCCAGTCCCTTTCGTGAAGGGAAAGGGCCACCCCCGGGAACTGCTTGGTATACTGATGGATCTTTTAAGGGCAGTCTGCCCACTTGGGTTGCAGTAGCACTGCACCCTGCCACTGCAGCCTTCTGGTATGAGACTGGAGAAGGCCAGTCCAGCCAATGGGCTGAGTTACGGGCAGTATGGATGGTGTTGATGAATGAACCTAGCCCCTTGCAGATTTGCACGGATAGTTGGGCCGTGTATCGAGGCCTTACATTGTGGATACCCCAATGGGCCCTGCAAGACTGGATGATTTGGCACTGGCCCCTATGGGGACAACAGATGTGGAAACAGTTATGGGACAAAGGCCAAGAAGGCCAATATACTGTTTACCACGTACCAGGGCACCGCCCAGCCCTGGCACCGGGCAATGATGCTGCTGACACGCTAGCCCAACTTCGCCCTGTAGAGGCCATGGTCCCAGGACCCGACATAGGTCCCTGGCTTCATAAGAAACTTGGTCATGTTGGCTCATACACAATGAAGCAGGCAGCTGACCAGTGGGGCCTGCACCTGAGCCACAGTGAAGCCAAAGATGCCGTGCAGCAGTGTCCATGGTGTGCTAAGCACCACCTGCACCGGTGGCGATGGCCCCAACAGCTGGGGAAGATTGCACAGGGAATTCAGCCATTGCAGGTATGGCAGATAGATTATGTGGGCCCCTTTGCTCCGAGTACGGGCCTGTGGTACCTGCTGACACCAGTAGACACCACTGCTGGCCTAGGTTTTGCTCAACATGTGCTCCGAGCTACACAAGAGGCTACTATTAGAGCACTGGAAGTTTTACGGGCCTTCTATGGGACTCCCTTAGAAATACAAAGTGATAGAGGGACCCCTTTCACTGCCCAACAGACCCAGGAGTGGGCCAAAGAAAATGACATTAACTGGATATCGCATGTGCCTTACTGTCCTCAAGAAGCAGGAATGATTGAACGGTACAATGGCCTATTAAAGGAGAAACTGAGGGCTCTCAAACCACAAGGGCGAGGCTGGAACAGTGTCTTCCCGCAGGCGGTACATCTTTTGAATGAACAACCTCGCCATACAGGTATAAGCCCACTGGAAAAGTTATTGCAAGAGACTATTCGGAGGCTCAGAGTTGGGCCCATGCAGAATGCCTCCGAAGTCTCAGTAATGGGGCGTTAATATTACGCGTCGCCAGGGTGTTGAACTCGGGACAACAGGACACCTGGCCATGAAGGCCCCTGGCTAGCCCTTTTGGCACCATGGGGCGATGGGCTAGAGAAAGCCCTGCAGGTAACTCCACGAGTGCAGGTTACTCTAGGGAAAACAGGAGTGTCCCCACTTAAAGGAGCAGAAGCCCTACGGCTTTGGGCAATTCCAGGCGAACAGCCCTTCCTGCCACTGTACTCTCACAGGATGAGAAACTGCTTGCATCCTCCCAGAAGGGAGAGATTTGCCAATCATGGTGTTCACCTCTGCTCTGTCCGTCTGTCCAGGGTAACAGCAAATACCATATTCTCCTGGGCACACACATTCGCGTGAGTCCACCATGCCTCTCACTGTTGGGTCTGCACTGAACTTCCCATAGACGCAGGAGATGGACTGCCGTGGCACCTCCACCCTGCATTAGAGCTAATTGGAGCACCTTGGTTCGATGGAATGCCAACAGGACAGCGAGATTGCCCTGGGACTTGCGGTGGCAGACTATTGAAGAGATCCTCTGACGTGAGCAGGGCAATGCCCCCCCCCCCAATTGGAAGGACTGTATGGAATGGGTGGGGATGGATGAATAGTGTTCATGTAAAAGTGAGAAATTTTAGCCCTCTCTGTATTGAGCAGCGGTTTGAACACGAGGCTCCAAACTGCACAGTGGGGTGGCTCCCAGAAGAGCTGTGTGCCAAAATTACTTACAATGTAAATGCCTCCACCTGGTGGGATGGGTGACCTCTAATTGGCACAAAACCCACCAATTTCCTGCCACCAGGGTACCTGTGGGTATGTGGCACCCATGGATGGTCTTATCTCCCAGCTAAGTGCACAGGGCACTATACTTGGGGTAGAGCTTACTTGCCTAGACATACCCAGCCCACTTTAACAGAGCGCCCCCACAAACTAGGACCCACTGCACACCCAGTGGCACAGGGGGAAGCGTGCAGCTTGGTGGTTTTATCCCATGGCCTTATTCCTGCCTGGTGCTGGGACCACCAATGTAGAATTGCAGGTAGAAGCCTTGGCTCAGCACATATCAGCTGTGCTGAATGTTACTAGAAAAGCTATGGAGGAATTGTTAGATGAGACCACCCAGATGCGAGAGGTGGCCTTACAAAATAGAATGGCATTAGATATTCTCACTGCAAGCCAGGGTGGCACATGTGCTATGTTAAATATTGAATGTTGTATCTATATACCAGATCACCAGGAGGAAGTAGCTAAGGCACTGCATGAAATAGATCAGGAATTGGGATCGCATAGATCACGTAACTGAAGCCCCCCTTAAGAATTGGTGGTCATCCCTGACGTCCTCCTGGAGATGGAGCCTAACTGTCCTGGCTATTGTAGCTGCCTGTGTATTGGTAGGCTGCAGCACACTGTATTGTTGTGGTCTTTGGGCACGATGCTCCGCCCTGTGGGCTAGGGTCCCCACCACCTAGGGGGTGGAATGTGAGCTGGCCTTGAGATGTGTTAAGGCCATGGGACCCAAGGCCACAATCAGAGCATGTTTGCAGATGCAGTAAATAATTGCTATACACATGCGTCAATTATGTAAGATTTAGAACAAAGAAAATAGAAGTACGCATGTGCTAGAGATATTCTGTAAGCCTAGTGAACAAAGAAACTCAGATTGTGCATGTGCTGGCAGAGAACAGATAAAAAGCAGGACAGGTGCATCATAGGCGTGCACCTCCCTGTGGCAATAAAGTGTTGTTAACCCCATAGTGTCTCCGGCTGAAGTCTGTCCGGCAGTATGGCAACTCCTCATGCATTTTTTCATTTGGGCCACTCACCTCCTAGAACCCCACATCAGACTCCCTCGGCTGACAGAGACCAAAGGAGACCTTAAGAAATGGAGACATGTATTATTTTCATGGATTGGAAGACTCAATACAAATGTTAATTTTACCCAGGTTAATATAAAAATTTAATGCAATTCCTATCAATATCCCAGAAAAAAATTTTAGTAGACACGGACAAGCTTATTCTAAAATTTACATGGACAGGATAGGCCCTAGAATAGCTTTAATTTCTTGAAAAAGCAGAATGGGAGACCCACCACCCAGTAGGATACTGCCACTGTAATCAGGACAGTGTGGCACTACGGGTGGGGACAGACCCCTAGGTCTAAGCAGCAGAATAAAGAGCCAAGCCACAGATCCACACAAAGACGCCCAGCGGAGTTTTGACAAAGGTACAAAAGTAATTCAATGGAGACTTGAGTTAGTAACAATGTGCCAGCATTGGCTCATCAACTGTAAAACAAACAAAAAAAGTAAAACAGCCAAACTTGGATTTTTTTCTGTTAAACTTCTATCAATGTAATAAGCAATAGCCCGTCTCAAACGCCTGTGGATGGTGCAAAGTCAGGGGTGATTTCATTTTCTCCTTGAGACCAAGATCTGCTCTTTATCTGATAATCTTGCGTTGTTTAGCTTAACTCTTACGGTTCTTTTAGAATTTAAATAAAATCTACTTCCCTTAAAGTGTTCAATCAGCATTTCCATCACGTGTTCAAGGGCAGTTACAAGGTCAAATGGGATGTGTTTCTCCAAGATGTTTCATCTTTTGTCAGATCCAGAAAATACTGCGTATGATCTTTTGATTGTTGCAGAGAATGTCATCACTGTTAGAACAACTGAGGTCAGGTCTGCCAGAGATATGACACAGAACACAAAAAATGCTTCTAGAGTTTTGGCCAAAATTCTGGCTTGTATGCTTTTTTTTTTTAATTCTTTATTGAAGTAGAGTCAGTTTACAGTGCTGTGTCAATGTCTGGTGTGCAGCACACGGCTTGTATGTCTTCACCTTCTCTAACCAGCGCCAGTGTCATCTCCATGCCCTTGATAATATTGAAAATTGATGCCTAAAATTGTAAGTTCCTTTTTTTCAGTTCTTTCCTTAAGCCAAATACATGTTTCATATAGATCTACACATATACAAATTCAAGAGAAATATGAACTAATATTGCAGAATGTTCCTCAGCCACTACTGCAAATAGCTGCATTAATTTCTGAGTCTTCCAGGAATCCTAGACTGGAACAGGAAGAAAAGCAAGACAGATCGGATCCATTAGTTAATTTCTCTTTCTTCCTGCCTAAGTGCCTCCACAGCTCAACTTGCTCTGCACAACTCACAGATCTCTGTGGTCTCCAAAATAGTTTGTAAAGGGGATGAAAAGATAAGCTACAGACTGGGAGAGAGCATCTGCTAATCACATATCTGACATAGTATTCGTATCTGGCATATATGAAGAATACTCTAAACGTAACAGTGAGAAAAAAATAATTCAATTAGGAAGTGGATAAAAGATTTAAACTGACACTTCACCAAAAATACACATATAGATGGCAAACAGGCACGTGAAAAGATCTTCAATATCATTAGCCATAAAGGAAAATGCAAAGTAAACCCATAGTGAGATATCTATCAGAACACATTTCTCAGAATGGCTACAATTAAAAATAGTGACATCACCAAATGCTGATCAGGGAGTGGACCACTCCTACTCTGCCGACGGGACTGTGAAAAAGAACTTGGGGAAACAGTTAGACAGTTGTTGTAAAGCTATACACTTGCCATATGACCCAGCAATTGCATTTCCTGGGTATTTATCCTACAAAAATAAACACGTATGTTCGTACAAAAGCCTACACCTGAATGTTCATAGCAGCTTTATTCACAACTGCCTAACATCCTTCAACAGGTGCATGAATAACAAACCTGCAAGCCAAAGGAACAAACCTGATGCAACATGGATGGGTCACAGGGCATTACAGAGGGAAAACGCCAATCTGCAAACACTGCATCCTGCATGGTTCCAGCTATGTGACAGTGTCGCGGTGAGGACATGGTGCTGCCAGAGACCCAAGGGTCAGAGCCGTGGGGAGGAGTGGCCATACAGGAGCAGCACAAAGGCATTTCTTTGTGATGATGGTGCAGGGCTGCATCCTGTGACAGTGGTTACAAGGATCTGTGTATGTGATAAAATTTCAAAGAACTGTACACCCCCTCCCAAAATAAAGAGTGCACGCCAAACTTACAAAATCTGGATAAGGTCTGTACGTGACTTGATAGTATTTTACCATCATCAGGTTCCTATTTTTGACAATATTAGATATTTTTATTGGGAAATGCTGGGGGAAGAGAACATGAGACCTGTCTGTACTATTTTGCACATTGTTGTGAGTCTAAAATTATTTCAAAATAAAAAGTTGAAGTAAAAAACCAAAACATAAGTTACTGTTAATGAGTATAAAGATGTAAAATAAAAACTTAAATAAATGAAAAAGTGTTCAATATTTAATTATGACTATTCTAAAAAATTTTTTGAGAATTTTTTTTGGGGGGAGATAATTAGGTTTACTTATTTGCTTTATTTTTAGAAGAGGTGCTGGGGATTGGACCCAGGACCCTGTGCATGTTAAGCATGTGCTCTACCACTTGAACTACATCCTCCCCCTATTTTAAATAATTTTTAATAATACATTTGAAAAAATTGTACAGTGAGCACTTACAGATCGACTATCTAGTTTCTTCATTTACTATTCTGCTAAGTTTATCATGCATTTATTCATCTGTCTATCTATTCTGTCTACTGCTGCGCCCAGCGCAGCTCAGGACCACACGTGTCTGAGGACGGGCAACACAAGACTTAAGAAACAAAGAGACAAAGTATAAAGAGCAAAGATGGGACCAGGGGACTCAAGGTCTCACGGAGCTAGAGCCCAGAAAGCCTGGTGGACATCGTATTTATTAGGAGTACACAGCTCAGAAAAAAATGCGATCAAAGAGGTGGGGCTTTAGATATTTCATGCTATAAGCACTAAGTTCTGCTTGCTGGTTAACTGATTACTTTCAGGCCCTATCCCTTCCAGGAACAATCACCCTCCTCGGGGTATGCACATTTTCTAAATCTATCCTGTTATTGCCTCCGGGATATCTCGAGATAGCAAATACTTCCCCTGGGTTCAACAGCAGCTTTCTTGCCAGAACCAAGTTCTGTTCATGGACAATCTGGCTTTCCAGGACCGTCCATTGCTTCACCCTAAGGAAATATCTGCCCTCCTTCGTGCCCTTATGGTCAACATCAGGATTGCTCACCACGAATTTCATCTACTGCATAAAACATTAAAACAAAGCAAGCATGTGCATTTTAAGCAAGTAAGTGTGAATACAATATTTTAAGCTCATGGAAATTTAGGAGTGGCTTCTTTTCTAGATGGTTGTTGTCCAGCAACTTGTTTCCCAGGCATCTACCCATTCATCTTATTTTTTGGTGCATTTCAAAGTAAGTTGTAGCCATTAGTACAACTCCTAAATAGTGCAGCATGCAAATCACTAACTAGAATTCAATATATTTACAGAAGATATTTTTAGGTAAAATTTACAGGCAGTGAAATGCATGTCTTAAATGTACACTCATATGAACTTTGACACCTGCAGACTCTTGTATTACTCGAGTCCCTACAAAGACAAGGAACATCACTATCAACCCAGAAAATTCCCTCCCAGCCCCTGAAGACACAAATGCTGCTCTGATTATTTTAACCTGCTCTTAAACTTTATTTTAACATTTTAATTAATTAAAATTAAATTAATAAATTAAAATAATTTTATTAAATTAAATTATTTAATAGTCAACAGAATGCAGTAATCCAATCATAAAGGACAGTCGAATGTGCTTACACATATTCATGCTCTTGAACTTTAAAGCTGAAATGTTGAAATTTAATTTTTTGAAAATGTAAGTGATGTAATTAAATACGCTTACAAAAATACAATATTTGCAATTGGAGGGTCTAATGTCTATCTCGTTGCCAAGGTTAAAAATCAGTATCAGGCTGCATGCATGCAACATCTCGCCCTACAAATAAATACACAAGCTTGAGAGGAATATGAATGACCTGATAATGCAAAATGTACAGATACTGTGAATACCACAGGCATCTGTGAGGATCTCTGCAGCCAGGAACTGCAGCTTGAAGATGCAGTAGTGTGACTGCAGTCTTAGTTCTTTGAGTGCTGGCAGCTGTTAAGCCTCACCTGTCCCTCTTCCCTTTGCCCCACATCTGGGAAGCCAGACACCAAAGCCTGGGTGCCCCCTCCAAGTACCTGACTGCGAGTAGGAACCGTCACTTCGGCCCACCCTCTAACCATGGTCAAACCCACATCTTCTTTGCCAGCTCTCAAGCCATCTTCAGAGGCCTGCCCTGCCGTGCCCAGAGAAGTACACCTAGCAGTAAATCTTTGCGAACCCTCCTGGATGTGTATGTCGTTATAATTCACGTCACAACCAAATCTTGGCTGGGGTGTGCCCTGCCCCTGCAGGCAGTGTGGTTAATACAGGAGAGAAGAAAGAGTAGGCGCCCTCACTACTCCGAACCGCTGCTTCCTTCTGCGGGATGACCTGTATGGAAGGATCTGACAAGTAACCCCCTGTCCTTCCCCTCACCTAGGCGGCACCTCCACTGCTCCAACCCGCCTTGCACCTGGAAACATCGTGTTTCCAACACTGGCTGGTCACAACCACGAACTTTCCTGGACCAGTCGCCTCTCTATTTCTTTTCCTTTTTAAATTCAGAGCTGTGCCAGCGCCACGCCCGAGTCCTGGGAGACCGAGGCACCCGTGTGTGTGTGTGTGTGTGAGACTAGCAGCCCCTCCAAGGTCGGGGCCCAGGGCAGCGCTGGCCAGGCCGCGGACTGTCCTAGGAACAGGAGGGGCGGGGCCAGGTTCCTAAGCCTGCCTTCGACAGAGGATCCAGGAGAACTTGCTCAAGTTGACTCCCAAGTCCATTCAGACCCACAGAACCAGAACTCCCACAGCAAGGGTCCGCCACCTGCGCCCTCCGCGGGCACCCCAGTTGCTCCAGGGCAGGGACCCAAAAGCGGCAGGGCCCGAGCGCGCACGCGCGGGAGGCGGGGCAGCGGGGCGACAGGGGCGGGGGCCCGTGGAGACAAAGAGGGGGAGGAGCCTGGCGGGGTCCGCCCCCCGCGCCGGGCAGGTCCCCGCGGCTCAGGGCTTGGGCCTCGGGGGTTCGCAGCGCGCACGCGGCTCCCGGACGGCTGCGGGGCCCGCGCCGCACCCGCTGGACTGCGGAACCGGGGAGCGGCCGCCT